CCGCGATATCCCCAAGCGATCGTCCAAGCGACACTGGTTACAGCAGACCAGACAGAATTCTCTCTCTCTGAATATTCTCCAGGCCACTCCCACTCCCCTAGACAGATCTACACAGAGTCTGTGGCTCCTCTGTGTCAGCATAAGGCTGGGCACACACCTTACAACCATGGCAAGACTCTTGCCTTGCGATGGTTGTAAGGTACTTATCTTGCATAGGCAGATCGTACTTGCGATGATCGCAAGCCACGCCGCCTGAGGCTGCTCGGCGGGTTTTCGAACATGTCCGTAAGTTAAAAGTCGTGCGACCTTAAGGTAGTAGAGGTCGCACGGCTTCCACACACCTTACGATAATCGTACGATCGTGGGATTTCCCGCGATTATCGTACGATTATTGTAAGGTGTGTGGGGACCTTTAGCCACAAACATCGATCTGTACACTTGGCTGGCCTCTCCCGAACTAAAAGAGACTCAGAAACTCCAGCCCAATTTACCCCTCCTGCTGAAAGCACAGCCTCCTCGGAATTGGAGGTCACATCTTTATATTAGGAATTATTGACATCAAGTGAAAATAATCTCCTAGTGAATGGAGTGAAAACAAGACCCTCGAGCAGCTGATATTTGACTGTTCACAGTGAAAAATGAAAATTAATTGGATGAAAAATCCATTTGTAGAGTTGACAGCACTTTGTTGATGTATGCCGTCAGCTTATGGTCCCTCAAGCTTTGGTCTCTGACCTCCCACGTCTTTCTAATCTGGCTTTATGAAGTTGAATAGACAGATCTGATGCAGATCTATCCTTCTATCAAATTTGCAAATAAAATAAAAATATCTGTAGATTTATTTTCCTGTGCTTTTAGAGCAATATTAACAGGCCCAGACCAGTGTAACTATTACTCTGTTTACATTCAGCTGTTTGCAGTCTGTATTTACCTATCATGCATTTCAATCTTCTCATGAGACTCTTGACAATTAACAGTAACGTGCTAATTCATGGAGGGTCTCAACTTAAAGTGATATTAAACAGTTGCTGGTTTTTGTTTTTTTTAAGGTGAGGAGGTCCACACGTACACTGTTTAAACATTCTTCTTGTTAAAAGATGCTTTTTAACTCATCCTGCAGCGGGTCCCCAAACCACTGATGCCCTGCCTGTTTGCAGGTGTCTCCTTCAGCTAGTCGGCTGCCTAGGAGATATCTTTGCATGCACATTCCCATTTGTGACCCGCGCTAGCTGTGTGCGTCCATAGACACACAAGGTAAATGGCAAGTCATGCATCTGCTCTCCTACCAACAGTTTGACTTAAAGCAGCAGGAGTCCATCACCCCAGTACCCTCCCCTACAACCAGGAAGTTTGGGGAATGCTGCATATATTCCTGGACCTGGTGGAGATGACAAGTGATGATAGGTAAGTGTTTGTAGAGAGGGGAGCATGCAAAAGGTACTGGGCATTTTTTACCTTAATGCGGAGAATACATTAAGGTAAAAAAATGCCTAGCCTGTGGTACTACTTTAAGAATAAATGTTCCTGAATCCCTAATGAGCTCCCAACCTCATTGTGTATGCATTTCTCATGTATGATTGTAGGCAATTAACTTCAGCCATGAATGTCATGAATGCAGTCCTGCCTTCTCCTGCTTTCCAAGAGAAGGCCACATGAGGCTCATCTGAACTCCACTGTTATCTGCTGCCGAACAGTTGGCTTTCAAGTCTGCAGAAAGCAGTACATTCCATCTTATGCTTCGTAATAGCTTTACCTAATTAACTTACACATTAAACGCAGTTTTCCATTTTGGTTGTTTAAGCTGAAATTCCTTTTTTAGTTAGTGAGACATACAGGGGCTCCATACAGTTGCAGAGGTGGCAGCTTTTGGGCTGAATCCTAAATTCACATGCATAGTTAACTTTTGGTTCCCACATGCTATTTAATATGAAGATCATTGACAATTAATTCTATAGGGAGTCAGAATGGCAATCTGCAACTAGGTCCCTGATACGGACAAGTCTGAGCATATCTGATCTAGTGGGATTATTCACAGATAGTGAAAGCGGTAGAACATGATTTCACATGCAAGCCTGAGAGCACTAAACATTCTGTTGATTTTGTTAATGTATTAATATACTGAGCATTGATGTAAGTCTATGCTCTAAGCTATGTTGGTATGTTGCTAAATGGATAAAGAGTAACATTAGGACTAGAAAAAGTACTTTTCAAGAACAAAAAGTCTTCTCCAGGTTCCCTTCAGAAGTGGGAATACGTGTAAAGGCCTGGATACTCTGTCATGTGACGTTGCCAAAGCAGAGCATCGTGTGACCAAATGCCAAAGCCTTCAGACATCTGGCCAGTATTGAAAGGAGTCTGAAGCAAGATTTTCCCCAGCATAGGAAAGCGTTTCAGTCTTTCTATTACTTTTTATTCTTCCCAGAAATACTGTAAACATTGCTTTATAACATTTAAATATCCACTCTAACTTGCATGAGGACTGTCTCTCTTCTGATATGCCTCTTGTATAGAGAAAAAAAAAAGAAATGCGAAGCAACACACTTTATAAAATAAAAAATAAAGAAGGTTATAAGACTTGTATATACTGAGATTGACATTTGCCAACTTGATGTGTGACTAGCAGAACATTCCACGTTTAAAGCAATTCTTTAGTAAACAGCATAAAGAATCACAATACAAGCTGCAAAACAACTCCCGCTGGCCTCAGTAAATACATCCTTATAAGCTACAGAAATGCTTGTGAGGCTCAGCGGGAAAATAGCAGAAGCTCTTGAAACTTTCAGGTTGCATATCAGAGAAGGGCACTTAGATTCCAAAGAGGATATGGCCTCTGGCCGTATAGAAGACAAACAGGTGCAGCCACCTCTAACCACCCTTACCCTTGCAGGATATTGATCGGTGTATGCTTTGGATTTGCTACAAGGCGTCTCTAGCCCGATGGCAGAAGATTAATATCACCCATCAAGCCTGATATACCAAATAATATTACAATATGCATTAACTACGTACAGAACTCAATTTTTTTTTTTACAATAGTCATTTTTCAAAAAACTGTTAAATATTTTTTTAACTCCATATTGAAAAAAAAATCAGTATGTTAGTTTTAGCCCTAAGAATGCTGGTAGTTTTTGGAGCAGGGTTTAGGGTCTGAAAACTAGTGTTAAAAAAAGTGCCTCATGGCATCTCCTAACTTAATCTGACCCTTAGGTTCACCCTAAGAGGTAAAGTAAAAATTCCACTAATAGATGATACTGAAACAATAATGATACAGCATATAAAACTACTATAAAACCCATTTTGAATTTTAGTATCATTAAATTTCCTTATTCATTTCAATCTGCAGATCCTGTGATTTTGTTTTAAATAAAACATATGCAGCTTCCTTTGAATATGGCAACCTGGAGGAGCTCTCATTCGTTGCCCTACAAACATCTCATGTTTATGGGCGCCCTAAAAGCTTCAAACACATAACTTCTTCTGACTCCATCCTACAGGACATCTCCAATCCTCCATCTATTCTATGAAATTCATTATCACACACTATTCTACTTTATTCTTATCTTTCAAGTGTGCCCTTTAAATACCATTTTGTACACTATACACTTTATGCTTTTCACCAATACTTGCTTCCTAACTTCAGTTTATCTCTGTCTTTGCACAAATGCTGGTTGATGCAGGCTTAATAAAAAAAAAGTTATTATGTTTTATAATTGGATGAGGCTGGTCCTTTGTACAGTATAAGCCTCTATTGTTCGTATCTTACTTCCCCCTTATTTTCTTTAGGTTATAAACCATGCTATTTGTTAGAATATTTCCCTAGATTACATGAAAACTACAACATATGCTGAAGCTGAAGAATATCAATATAATAATATTACCAAACCAAATTTAGTTTTTGGTTTTTCTTTATATAAAAAAAAGAAAATAGTAGATTATGGATAGATCAGACTTTTTCAGACCTATAGAAGGGAATTTATCAAAACTGGAGCAGATAAAATCTGGAGCAGCTGTGCATGGCAACCAATCAGCTTCCCTTGTTCATTTTCAAATCTTAGGTGTCCATACACCTTACAATTTATCTGCAGATTTTCTGGGGTCAGATGGAAAAAGTGCAACAGATTGGCCCAGGTAGAGATTACTCCATCCACACAGTTAAGTGTAGATGGAGGAATCTGTTGTACCTTTTCCATCTGACCACAGAAAATTTGCAGATACATTCTAAGGTGTATGGCCAGCTTTTACTGAACAAACTGAAGAGAGAAGCTGATTGGTTGCCATGCACAGCTGCTCCAGATTTTGTCTGCTCCAGTTTTGATAAATTCCCCCATTGTGATTACATATTTTGTTTCATATGTATCTATAATCACAGCAATTATGCTGTAGTAATCACATTTTACTAATAATATTAATTGTTTGCTAACCATGTGTGATAGGATGCCTGGGTAGGTTGGTATCTCTGCATCTATGAATACTGCATGGTATGCAGAAAATTCTCCAGTGTTTTGGAAGCAACTAAAAATATAAACATTCTAGAATGCATTAGATTAATAGCTAAGGCAATATGGTTGGCTAAATTCAGAAAAAAAGTCCATACATTATATGGACATTTTATTTTGCATATAATTTTTGATCAGCCCCAATTAGCATGCAGACTGTACATACATTTTTAAGCCTTGTATGCTGAACTCAGGCTCGCAGCGTGCTAACAGTACCAAAATACCTATCACACCTCAGAACATGGTGATACCAATTCTTCTTCCATGATAACAGGCTCTCTTTAAATAGTTAAGCTCTCAAAAGAAAAAAAAAAAAGATTGATGTTCCAGCATTTTAATACAGTACTGATAGTATTACAGTTTTACCGTTCCTATCAGTTATCCCAACACAGGAAAATGCATGGTCATTTTAGAGACCGGCAGTGAGCGTACTGGCAGCAGCGATTCTTCCTTCTATGGAGTGACATTATTTAATGAATAGTGATTTCTATCCACTTGACTCACCTAGTGAATGGCTCTGTCCCGTCACATCAGTCAGATAAGCACTGACAATGGCCTTCGAGGTGCTGCTGGGAAAGCTGCCATCAGAGGAAAGGTAAATGTGGAATGACTCTGCGAGACTGGGCTTATCAAAACTCACCTAAGTGAAGGTAGATGAAATACAAATAGGTAACAGTGAAGATTTTAAATATCTGCATTTAAAGAAAAATTCTGCTATTTATTAAAAAAAAGAGTGACAAGCTGCAACATTCTGTGGAATATGAACAGTCAGAGATAGCTGTGTGTTGAAATGGAGCACTTCACTCTATATCACATTCACGTTAAATATATTCATTTCTGATATGATCCTACATTGTTACATATTATCCATGACTATTATTAAAAAAACCTTGATGTACTGTATATCAACTTATAATTTATGGTTTATAGCCTTTTGAAGGATAACTGCACTTTACATTCAAACTTAGGACAATATAATGAAGAGCACATGCTGTAATACCTTTTAACTTTAATAAAGTGTCCTTCGCATCACGTCGACTGCCTGTCTATGGGTAGAAGAGTGTTCATGACCTCTGGAGTTGCTGCATTTGTAACCAAGCCCATGGAAAGTTGGGGGGAGAGTGTCTGTGTTAGGTTGGCAGTTTTGCACTATGAGCCAGGCAGTGCAAAGCACACCAGTGATGCAAAAAAGTACCCATTGTTTGCTAGTATCACTGCATGTGGTCTGCTTATTGTTACCTAAAGTTTTCACCTTTTCCCCAGAAAAACAAAGTTAGTACTTCCCATGTGAGTCTTCCTTTTCCAGACTGCTCAGTTCAAAGTTTCAGTCACACAAAGGTAGATAAGAGGCAAGAGGCCACTGCTTTGTTGTCTTTTGGCTAACCTGTAGAGCCTTGGAGATCATTTTTCATGTATTATACATTTATTTGTAAAAAATAAAAGTAGACAAAAGTTATATATATATATATAGTAAGTGGTTGACAAAATAATATGGAATTCATGAACCAGTCTTTAAATGTTAAGAAGCATTGGCTACCTGGCTACCTATCAGTTTAAAAATGGATAAATGTAAATGGCCAATAATGACCTAAAATCATTAAAATATCCACACTATTAACATGATTCTTGTACTATGCACGAGGTTGTGCAGTATTTGCCCTTTAAAGAACATCAGGGTAGCTAAATCTCTGAATTGAAGAAATGACTGAGCTATTTTGACAGATGAAAAAACTGTTATAATTTTTAGCCTAGCATCAGGTACTGTTGAAGAGACAAGATAAATGGGAGACGTATTACCTTTAACCATACATTTTCCTCTGGAAGTACATTACAAGGGAACCATCCAACCGTTTGAGATCCAGACACCCCACTGAGAGGAAGACAGCTCTAGAGGAAAAAATGCAAGTTTAAAGGATAATCTTTCATCAGTCATTTGAACAACAATTTCGAGCAACAAGTGAAATCAGGTAGTGTGCTACTAATGCTATCCAGCAAACACTGCTTAAAATACCTCAAATAAACTAACTAACTAACTAACTAACACCCCATGCTAGTGTAGGAACTTACCTTAAATGATGCCTCTTGATCCGATCATCTTCTTCTTTCCTGTAGTTTGGAGGAGTCCCTCCAGCGTTGGCGTCAGTCTCCGATCCATCGCTGACTCCTCTGTCTTAACTGGCGCCTCCTGTCCCACGGTGTTTGTGCGGGTACACGCTGTTGCATTGACTTACCTTGTGTCTCTCCTCATCTCCCAGCCAAAGATCTGAATTGCGCATGCGCCCGCCCCAAGATCCTTTGCAGCTGCCCAGGAATCTTCAGATGTTCGGACGGGAGCGTGTGCGGAGACACAGGTAAGTTTTAACACTTTTGAAAATGTTTTTTTTAAAATGTTTTTCCATATATCTACTGCTTGCTAGCAATGAATATATGCAGAAACATGCAAGGATTTAATAACCCTTTAAATTAAAACTGTGTTCCTATTTAACCTCTAAGCAACAATTAGATACATCTTATAAGCTCTAATTAAAACCTTCACCCCTTCTCTCGTTAGCTATTATTTTGCTTCTGATTTTTCTTAAATTTTTTTTTTTTACTATTAATGGTTAAACTTTTTTTTCGTTTTCATTTCTTCCCTTATTTTTTTTGTGCCACATTTTATAAAAAAAGAAAAATTCAAAAACCAAAAATCCTTAATATCATTTGTAAATTTGTATTAGAAATAAAAGGTTAGTGTCATTGTACATAGGAGAAAATGCCCCTTTTACCAACAGAACTGATCAAACTATAAAAAAAATCATTTTGTTACATCTATAAATTGCACAGAAAGTAAAATATTTTTACTGTGGCTTACTACACATCCATGCTCCTCTAGTGACAGGTTTCCTTTTAAAAAATTGCAGACGTTAATGGCGTCTAAATCTTTTCTCTCCTTGATGAATCAAGCATTGCAATGGTTTGTGATACTAATGATTGAAACTTTTAGCACTATCAATATGCAGCATGTGGTTTCACCCCACGTACATCAGAGCTATAATGTCTAGGCAGACATTAATAGACCACAATAAACAAATATGTAGTCAAGCCATTTTACATCCTAAAATGTCTTTTTTTTCCTGCATTTTATTCAGTCAGTTACTTAAAAATATAATGGAGACAAATGCTACATGCATAGGAGACAAACCTAAGAGAGTAACTAAAAACTGTCGCATTGGTGATAGGTGTAGGGATAATCATTTTGTGATATAGCCATCACAAACATTTCAGGCTGCACTGCTAACAGCTTGAAAAATACTTTTACATAGCTTCTAGTGGGAATAAAATATTATTTGTCACATGGGCATCACACGCTTTTTCAACTTTTTCTTTTTCATGAGACTAGAGAAGAAATCCACATTTGTCATTACACTGGCACGAATGACTACCTGGATCACAGTCGTAAGGGTGTGTATCACCAGATGTAGCCCCATTAAAAAATGATGACACTCTAATAAAAGGAAAGCTGAATTTGTTACTCTGAAAATAGGCCTATTAATGAAACTCTTACTGTGCATGAATCAACAGGGCACATGTCAGCTTTACCCACTCACAATATCATTCTCTTTCTTGCCATAAATAAAGAAATAAATCCACTCCTAAGGTACCTCAAATGACCTAAACCCTAGGCAAAGATCACACGGTCTCTAGCAACAATGAGCATTGTTCATAACATTAGAGACCGCAAGGAGGCTACGGTACTCTTTTCAGTCAGACTGATCCTGTCTGGTATACTAAAATTAGTGGATCAGTAAGACATAGCCACTGGGCCAGCTTAGCATATGCCAATCGGGCCAACAGAATGTAAAACACTTTAATAACCAAGGCTACTACAGTGCTGACAGCAGTCGTTTAGGGCACTGTGCTGAGCGGCTTCCCCTCTGCAATGAAAACACAGGGAGGGCCACTCGCTTGGCACAGTCACAATCAGGGAATGCCTAGTATTTTTTATCAATGAATACAAGGAGTTCTCTGATTGGATGTGGGGTGATGATGATACAATCCACACCTTGCTAATCAGAGAACGCCTTGTATTCATTGATAAAAATACTTGTCAGTCTCTAAATGGCCGCTGTGCAGAGCGAGCAACCCCATGTGTTTTCAGAGCAGAGGGCATGCCAGTCAGCACAGCACCATACCACACAGGACCTACTACAGTGCTTTACAGTATCCCTCTGGGCCTATCAAGTATGACATATGCATACTTACATTGGGCCAAGCTGGAACAAGCGTGCATAATACTTTATACCTGGAGTTCAGCTTTAAAGGAGAATTATGGGGAGAGTGAAATGCACTCATCCCCATAATTAGAGCAGACGTGTGACATTGCAGCTGTCACACATTGGCTCTATAGATTGAGAACTGAGCAATCACATACCACTGATCGCTCAATTCCCGATCTTCTCCTGCCAGAGAGTGGTGACTGTCAGTCACCACTCCCCACAGGAATTCCCCCCTCCCCTCTCCATTCCTCCAACGCTCACTGGGCGGGCAGGGCTGGCTCTGTCTCTAGAGAGCCATCTGTCAATCAGGTGGTGGGATGCATCCCAACAATATTGTAGGGATCCATCCTGGCTGCAGTTTCGGGTCACAGGAGGACATAGTAAATGTCTTCCTGTAACCCTAAAGTGCAATGACCAAAAAAGGTTAGGCCATAGTTCTCTTTTAAGGGCCTCCTCTGCCACATATTGAATACATCTATAAGAATACCTTTAAGCTTAGAGCTCGAGCAGTAGTTGTTAAGCTTAGAGCTCGAGCAGTACTTGTTATGAACAAGTAAAGTTTGTTTTTTACGTAGACTTTGTTGTAGAACTACATCAAATGAATGGCAAAAGTTCTGTGAATGCATGCTCTGCTGAAATTGCCCTGCATCTACAATGAATAAACAGCAAAAAAAAAAAAAAAGCAGAGCACAAAGACTACTGAAAATATCAGCCTGTTCTATCTCTAAGCTCACCATACACATCCTGACTGTAAAATATTTGTACAATCCCATTTTTATCAAAACTATGTAATATGAATTGAAAACCTGCCTAAAATATCCATTCAATTTGTATTGGTGGTACAATTAAATTGTAATGTGTGTGGTAAACTTAATACACACAGTAGCAGACATTGGCATATATACACTGTCACACAGAATATGACATACAGACAGTGTTACAGCAACTGCTGGAAGGTTGTGTCTGTGTATGATGACATAGAAACCAATCAGATTAAGCTCATCTCAAAAGAAAATGACATATATCTTACTGCTTGCTGTCAAAGACCTGTAGACACCGTTCTCTGTTCTTTACTTACATTTTAAAGACTACCGCCAGATTCACACTTTTGCATTGTGGTGACATGCATCAACTGTACTTTTTTCATTCTGAATGGTACCCCAACAGACCCATTTTGCAGCGCAGTATCATGCATTGTGGTTGTACCACGTTAGAAAAAATAGTGCATGCACCTTTTTTTGGTGTGTTTGGGTGCATTAGGTAGCCCATTCAAACACATGAAATAACACATAAACTAGTGTTAAACACAGCACACGGATGTAAATGAGCCCCAAAACTTTCAAAAGCACATGCATATACGAGAAAAATAATCACCTTGTGTACTGGTTCTCCAATGAGTGCAGAAACTGGACATTTCCAGGGGTCTTCATGAGAAGTCACAGCTTGAGAAGCCCACTGATCAATGTATTCATGTGTTGTTTGCCCAGCACGATTGGCAGACATGCCAATGCTATCATCAGGGAAGTCAACAACACTCTCTGCACTGGGAATGTAGCATAGGCTAGGTTTTCCTGCCAAAATAAATTTAGTATTATTAAAGCAAATACATGACATCTCTTCTTTTTCTTACCTGTTAGGACTAATACATAGTACACACCTATGCACATATGATTTGGCTCCAGTTGACACCTCTGGGAACAGCCATCTCCATTTTGCAGTGCACCATCATCACACTCCTCTCCCAATTCCCTGTGATCAAAAACACACACGTGTCTTAAGCTGACCACACACATTAGCATCGGATTGTACAATGTCTTGAATTTAGTAACAACTATGTTGTGCAGTGTTTTACATGACTGGATATTATTTAAAAGTACAAAGAAAGCACTGGGCCACAAGGTTATTCTATTGGTGTGGCTGGCCAATGTTGATGTGAAAGTGTTGCTATGGGTGTTGTGGTTACCAGACAGGCAGCTTCTACATCCCAGAGAATTTAAACTGTCTCATTTGCTTTGTAGTGTCAAGTTGCAGGATTGTGAATTAGGCACCAGCCTTTGCTGAATAGTCCAGACATATCATTATTTATGATGCATAAGGTAATCTAAATTTTAGAACCTTAAACAGAGTAAGCGTGAACTTTATTAGTATATTCTGACTTACTTATTAACTTCTCCATCCCCACAGAAACCGGCACCATGCATGTGAAATAAGGGTGGTGAAGGCTCTCCAGCCACTGACCCAGCAACGACCTGCACCTGGTATTGGTATTCCTGGCCCGGGGTCACTTCCCTGCAGGGTAAAATAAATATAAATATTCTGATGTAGCCTGGCAATGAAGAATGGCAATGATAGCCTAATTTACATTCACTTCATCTGCCCCACCTGTGTGTACATCTTTTTGCAGATATCTTCTTTTGCCCTGTAATCTTTTAATTGGTGTTTTTTTACAGTCCAAAGAAAGCTTGCTATGCCAAAAAAGCAGAGGGCATACTGCCCCTAGGCCTTCACTCTGGTTTCAATCTCCATGATAACTGATAATGATTATGTATTATGAAAGAGGTCACCATTTACATGTCTAGGGCTATATGATTTCCACTAGAGTACCAGAGATTTTGCTATTGGTGTTCTCCAGGCGTGCATAGTTGGATCTGAAACAAATAATAGTAAAGCTGTTGGAGTGAGGTTTGTTTGCCAACCCACTCTTTTCCGCTATGTCTCTAACTAAAGGTTTTGAGCTGCAAAGAACTATTATCTACAGCATATCATTGCCTACTGCATGTAGGCTTCTTAATATCCATACTATAGAAAACTATAATATAGCGCCAGTAAAAAATGGACTTGGCTATTTTTACAATCCAGTAACTGAAACAAAAGCCCTGGCTGTGGCCTACAAATCAGTCTTTTGACCAAAATTAGGGCAAATAATGAGGTGTCTCCAGAAAATCAACTGACCAGACACCTCTGTTGGCAACACACGCACACACACACTACACACTAAGCAATTGCACCACCAAGAGGAAAAATAAAAAATGAAACGCTTTGTCTAACCATCACTACTCTTTAGAAAAACACAGCATTCTTTTTTTTCTTTTATTTCTTTCTGTTTCTTTTAAGTTTTTTTCAGCTACAGACAGCTAGTGTATTAGCTTGGGGTATTATGTTTATTGTTTGCTTTCACCTCTGTTTGACACATTGTTCTATCTAGTGTTTCCAACATTCCTCTGCATGTCTGAAAATGTGCCAGTGTATTATGCAGATTTTTGATGGCTGCGAATGTATGCAGATCTCTGCTGTTCTTTTCAGACTCTTAAACACTAATCACAATAGAAAGTTTATTTTCCAATATATATTTGTAAAGAAAAACATCAGAATAAGATTTAGAAATAAGGTTGTCTAGCTCAAATTACAAGGGCAAGAGTGCCTGATGTTAAAAGCTGAACTCCAGACATACAGCTAAATACACAGATAAAATTCATACTGTATATAGGGGCTGTTTTATCTGCCACCTTTCTGTCCATCCAATCCTGAGATTTACACAGTGCTTTTACACAGCACAGACAGGCGAATTACACCATTTACAGATAAAGAACAGTTGTGTCCTCTCTTCACCTCCTAGCCTACTGATTGGACAGTGAAAAAGCCACAGCAGACTAATGAGGTCATCTCTCTATTTATTCTGCTCCCTCTTCCTATCAGCATTTTCTCTATATAAGACAAAAAACTCCTTATTGAAAAAATATATTTCCTTACATCTCACACCTATGAGAGTAACATCATAATTCCATACTCACACAGAGAATGGGCCACATAAACTATTATTGGTGCACCAATTATTAGTAGCATGGAAACCTGCTATTTTGGAATGCTCCAAATAATAGTTCAATTTGTAGAGTCTGAAAAGAAAGATGCGACTAATGCACTAATTGTAAAAGAAAATCCAAAATGAGACTTTTCAAACAAAAATTCTTACAATCTGTGCCAAATAAATAACGGTTCAGAAAATAAGTTTGTCAGCATTTGGCACAATAGGGGTGTGCAGAAGTGTGCCAAGAGCCAAGATGATGGCACAAAACAATTATTATTAATATAATACAGGATTTATATAGTGCCAATAGTTTGTGAAGCATTTTACAATATAAAAGGAGACAGTGCAGTTACAATACAGTTCAAGTCAAAATGGTTAGTAGGGTCCTGCTCGTGACAGCTTATAATCTTAAGAGAGGGGCAAATAATGAAATAGGTGGTAGCTGTGCATAGATGAGAAAGTAATAGTGCAGTGGTTAGGTAGAGGTGGGATAAGCTTGCCTAAAAATATGCGTTTTCAGAGATTGCCTAAAGGCAGACATAGTAGAAGATGGGCAGACTGGTTGGGCTAAGGAGTTCCAGAAATGTGAGAGACTCTGAAGAAGTCCTGGAGGCGAGCATGGGATGAGTTGACATGGGTGCGAGAGAGCATGAGATCTTAGGAAGAATGGAAAGGGCGGTTTGGGTGATATTTTGAGAAGAGGTGCATGCTGTAGCTGGGGTCAAATTTGTGTGTGAAAATGTTTTTTAATATTTTTAATTGTATTCTTTGGGCAATCGGAATCCAGTGGAGGGATTGGCAAAGAGGGGTTGCAGACACTTTCCACATTCTACTGTGCGCAAAAAAACAAACCTATCTTCATTGTGACATAATAGTTTATTCGACATAATAGTTGGACATGCAATGTGTTAAAATAAGATGTCATGTGCAACACTTTGCATTCCTCAACCACCAATCTTAGTTTGTCTGGTCCAATGTATTTAAAGTGGAATTAAACTTGCTTTTGTAAAAAGTGCTGACAGGAAGGCTTTTTTGATGACAGTAGGGACTGTGTATGTCTCTTCTGTCATAGATGTTTCTCCATGCCAGAAAAAAATAACTCCAGTGTGGCAGTTATGTCACCCAGATCCAGCCAATCAATGGGGCCAAAGACTTTGAACTTGGAAGGAAACCACAAGAAAAAGAAAGCTCCACTGATGAAGAAGAGCAATGACAGCACCGCACTGGAGAGAATCACTGTGTCAGGTAAGTCTGACAAACATATTTGAACATTATGTTAAAAAGCTTCCGGGGATCCGCAGTTTTGCATTTGGTCTGGTGATTTAGCTTGGCTTTAAGTGTTAGGCGTTATGATATGTACTTTCACTGCAGTGGGCAGAATTCAGTCATGTATGAACTCTTGTATATAAACATCTGTCATAATAATCAAGGATGGAAATTTGGCAAATCATTGGTGAAGCAGATTTTTAAAACTGCTCTTTGTAATGCAGAGCAGGCAGTAACCATAAGCTCTAGCATAGGGGTCCCCAACTCTCGGGTTCCTGTTAGGAATTGGGCTACAGCTCCTGCTTTAGGCCCACCCCTGCAAATAGGCCCGGCTGCCCCGGATTACCTCGGTATGCCCCATGACAATCCGGCTACAATCAGACAGAGGCAGCCCTCTAATCAGACATATTAGAAGGCCGCTCGCTGGGGCCTCTCGGGGCCCTAGTGAGGAGCAAGTGGTCGTCTGATCAAAAAGCTGCATCTGCTGCCCCCGCAACCACCAGTGAGACTCTACGGACCCCTGGTTAGAGCCTGCACTGGCCACCTGAGAGCCTGCACTGGCCACCTGAGAGCCCATACTGACCACCTGAGGCACACACTGGCCACCTGGGAGCCCATACTGACCACCTGATAGCCCACACTGAGCTGCTGAGAGCCCACATTGACCACCTGAGAGCCCCGCTGACCACCTGAGAGTCCAACTGACCACCTGAGAGTCCACACTGGCCATCTGAGATCCCGCACTGGCCACCTGAGAGCCTCACTAACCACCTGAGAGCCCCACTGACCACATGAGAGCAGGAAAACAAGTTCAGGGTTCCCACTGATTCTACATTATGGTGAGTTGTATAATTATTTAATTATATATTACAATGTACTAATAATAGACATTTTTTTCCACCACTGACCTTAAATGATGCCTCCTTATCTGATTATCTTCTTCTCCTTCCTGTAGTTTTCAGGAGTTCCTCCAGCGCTGGTGCTGGTCTCCGATCCTGTGCTGACTCCTCTCTTTTCTTGCCACTTCCTGTCCCACGGAGTCTGTACACGCTGCCTCCATTGACTTACCTGGCGTGTCTCCAGGGCGAAGATCTGAACTGCGCATGTGCGCGCCCGAGAATCTTCAGATCTTCGGACAGGAGCGCGCGATTGAGACACAGGTAAGTTTAAACCTATTTGTTAACTAATTTTTATGTTTTTAGCCTATATCTACTGCTTGCTAGAAGTAGATCTATGCAAAAAAAGGCGAGGATTTAACAATCCTTTAATACAAATTTCTGCTGAAAGAAATATGGAGGCAGAGCTGCCGTTGTTTATCTCCTTTTGCTGAGGCAAATCACAAAAGTCAAAATGAAATCAGAACTTCTGATCTGTGTACTTGATCCAAGTCAATGATTTATAAAGTACTGGAGCCATTGCAATTTGACGGGTCTGCAAAGAAAGATGAGACTAGTGCACTAATTGTAAAAAAAAAATCCCAAGTGAGACTTTTCGTACAAAAAGTCTCACAATCTGCGTCAAATAAGTAATGGTTCAAAAAAATTAATTTGTCAATATTTGGGACAATATAGGTGTGCAGTAGTCCAACAAGAGAATGAGAACGCAAGGCAGTTACAGTGTATTGAAAAAGTTTACCAGTATATTAGTATACCAGTTGAAGAGGAGAGGTCAGCAATGGTAATCTTCATGCTTCCGCACTACCATACCCCCCATTTGTTTATCAATTGAAACCAGCTTCCTCTGTCCCTCTTTCTTCCTCAGTTGTCCCTCTTTTTGGTCTGATGTTTAGATATTTATGAAAAGGTTTTATTTATCTACTAAAAGTGTTATTCTGCACTAAAACCTTTATGTTATCTCCTCATTTTCTTGTTTGCTAATTCAAAAAGCCAGTATAAAGGAAAAGTAATGGGGAAAAAAAACTGGGTTTATCTAAATATTTTTGGGAATTTTTAATGGTCCACATACCTGGAGGCATGTTTGTCCATTGCTTAAATAAATTGTAAGGGAAGGTGCTCCTCTTTTTCATTGCAGAAAGTTGGGAGGTATGCGCACTACTGTCTTTAAATCTCTTGTCATATGGCTGCAATCTGCTGTAGCACAGGTGTGGTTGTGACAATCCATCACAAGGTAGCTGCAGTTAGTCTGATGTGATATTAGTCACTTGGCAGCATTTACTTTTTTCAACGTGGCAGTAGGGTGGCAGATGCAAAATAGTTGGGTTGGGCAGCAGGTACAAGTGGATTGCGTTTAGGGTTGCAGGTAAAGAGCAGATGCAGAAACAGATCCTTGAGGTCTGTAGCCCAGGGCACAAATCCATATTCCCTTAAAATAGCAATGACCCAAATCAACGTAGAACATGTACAGGCCATGAAATGAGAATACTTTATTTAACTGTCGGGTCCATTTTACACACAAATAAACTACTGTTTGTACTGCCAAACTAATAATGGAGATAAGACAAATTATCGTGCTCTATAAAGGAACTGGGACGTTGCACTCTTCAACCCAAAGAGATATCATTGTTGGTGCATTTATTACAGTGTTTACCTGTGTAAACAAATCTAAAGATCAAAGAATGACAAGAGTTGCAGGGAGGCTAATTCAAAGATGGCACGGAAAGAAGTGCCAAGTAAAATAATATCATACCCCGTGGTTAAGCTGCACACAAAACAAGTTAAGTTTCTCAGTGGTACATTTAAAGTCACTGCCAATTCTAAAGATATTACATATGCCCACATTTATTATGTACAACATAAATGTACCTACTGGTGTGTGACAGAGGGTGAAGCAGGTGCTGCCAAACCATTCATTTACAGCTGACATATAAGCATATGGGTTCCATTAATGGAAAAATACGAGAAAACAGTACCTGTGTGTACTATTAAAGGTGAAGCACATAGTTGAAGTGTACCTGTACCAAAGGAGTGGAGCCAGCCACATATCATATTAGAAAGTGGGAGCTTACTGTTATTCCCATTTCTGCATCTGATGCCTGCGTTGTTTGTACGCCATGGTAATCTAAGGTTACATGCTGGCCCTCTTAAGCATACCATACACAGACTGAATTGTGGCTGATTTCTGCTGCATCCTCTAAAATTCAAGCCATGGGGGGCTCTGTCGTCACTACCTGGCTTAACTAATTTCAACTGAAAAATTGAAGGAGAAAGGTGAAAAATTGTCAGCCGTACAGTCACTACATCCAATCAGATACCAGGGAGTTAATTCACTTGGACATTGTCAGCTTAATAAGCACTGACCTAATTTCAACCAATGATGCCTGATAATGCAAAATAAGGAATGTTCTGCCATTTTGTAGTAGAAAAGGAAAATGCACAGTTCATGTACAGTTCATTAATCTTCTGGAGTAAATTTAGAATAAAGTTTGAGTTCTACTTTTTTTAACCTAATTGGACATTCTTTATTCTGTGCCTGGATTAGAAAGAGAGAGAAGAGTTTAGCAACAGTGTGGAGACTGTCATGCAGCAAGGACTGTAAAGCCTGGTGCCTTCGCTGTCCTTGCAAAGGGTAAGTGAGTGTTGAATAGAACACAGATTGGCTAAACCTGGGATAATGGGACAAATAACCCTGAGATACAAGTAGAGGGAGCCAGTTTATGGAGAATTTGGTTTTGTATTGAATCTATGGACTATTCATTTTTATATGCATTAACACCGTAGATTGTTGATCCAGTGTATATCTGAATATTCTTTTTTTTTTCCTCTTAGAGCAAATTAGACCACACTTTATGAGGTTGTTTTTGACTTCCTCTGGATCAACTGTGGGTTAAGGGTTCTGGTGCATGCAGGTTTTCAATGTCTTTATTTAATGTTCTATTGGTTGCATTTGATAGATATGTGTTTTTTCAAGCCTAACCATGTAACAATGAATAGTACTAAGATAAACAACTGGCCTTTGTGTCCAGTCTGCTTTCACTGACACATCCTAATCATCATTATTAAAAATTGAGTGAAAAGGTCACAGAATTCTGGGACTTACAGTTACATACTCGTTAAAAAAAAGAACACAGTCAGCTCTACTAGGTCACTAAGGTCTATAAAAAGTAATCACCAAAAAAGTATTCAATCGAACTACATATTTTAGAAAAGCCAATCTCCAGAATGCAGTTTCAACTGCATTATTTAGGAGAAGAAACACAATTACCAGTTTAAAGTGAAATTAATCACAGAATTTATTTTAAAAAATATACCACCCACATTCAGTATGGTTCATTAGTTTCAAGGATAATGACTTATTATCTTCATCACAGATCCCCACCCACTGTGTCCTACACTATTCCTCACACATAGACACATTAGTCATTCACATCAGTCTAATAATGGGCTGGCATTTGTCTCTGTCATATGTTCTACATTTCTTACGTTCTCTGATGTGTTAACCCCTTGCCTTTGCCATGTCAGGTATTCTACCCTGGAGGAGTTCTAGAGACGTTAGACAGGGAGTTTAAATCAACTATCACATTCATGCTGCAATACTTCGAACATGTAGAAAAGAAGGCAAGTGGGGGTAGAACAACTTTGAGCATTACAGTATTTAAAGTGGGGTGTACCAAAAAAGTAATGGAAGGGCTGAAGAAAACACTGTTCAAAACTGCCTCCAGTATTATTATACATGAGACCAAAGGTTGGGGAATTTAATTATGTGATCTCTGTTAAATGGAAGATAAAATTAGCTGATCATACCTTTTAGCAGAGGCCACATGACCTAATGCTTAAGCATTTAATAATATAATGTTTGGAGCACCATTTTCTACTGGAAAGGTAAGTATTTTAGGAATTACTTACCTAGGAGAAGAACAGCTTTGATCATGTCACTGTCAGTCAAAAGGTTAATTGGCAGGAGGCAAAAAAGCTACTTCTTATAACCATGATCTTAGAGAGAAAAAAATTTTCCTTTTTCCAAAAACATTGGGCACAACAGCCAAAAAAAGTACCATAGAAGATGGCGTGGTGGTTTAGGTAGACATAGAGGAATATCAAGCTAACCTATTCCTAAGCAACCAAAAGGGAAGTTCACATGCTATAAGCCTTTTCCTGGTGAACCATGTGCAGGCAACACTAATACCCCATACAAATTGCTTTTTTTTCTAGCAATGAGCTCATATATGATGTACATTCAAATCCAACACATCCTTTAAAAAGGCAAAGAAAAAAAGCAAATCGGACCATTAACACAATAGTACAGAAGACATAACACCAGAGTATTCTCGCATAGTTTAAACAGCTTATATGGAGGAGAGAAGGCTGCTTTGGGGGACCCTTGACTTCCAGTCTCACAGGTTGCTATAGGGATGAGTTTCAGGCTTAGATTGAGGTTGGTTTCACGGCAAACTCAACCCATGCGCAATTCACGGACATGGTGAACTAATGCAGCTATTCATAACCATAGCAACAAATTACCAATAATGACCTTACTGGCCATTAAACTTAGGTCATGTAGCTTAGAATAGACAATAATAGGGGCTTTGTTATGTGCCAGCCCCTCACTATATAAAGGCAGGGTTCCCAGTAGCCATATTGACAATATTAAGGTAGCAAAATGCTGTATTTCTAGGGGAATGTGGGGTTGGTGGGAGGAAAGCATATTTACATCTTAATGCTACTGAGTGCTGATTTGTGTCCTTCTACTTTTTTGCAGCCTCTCCACATGCACTGTCTACAGAACGTGTATTTTTAAAAGTTCATTTTATATTATATTTTGCTGGTTTTATGTTGTTCACAGCCAGTCCACATTCACTTCACTGCTTAGTGACTGCATGTGTAATTGATGCTAGCGGCAATTTTTATGAAAGCCCTTTTTTGGGAAAAACAGTGTATTATACCTGGACAATATGCACCAGCTTAGAAGCTTAATCCTTCTTTTGGGAGAACATGTGGCAAGGTGATTTGCATGCTGGAGATTGTTAGAGAAAGAGGCAGTGCATTGTCTCCCCATAACACAAAGTGCCCAGACAAGGACCTTTATATAAGAATCAGTAGCTGTTGCTTATACAACATTTTAGTGGTTGGGCTTACATCTACTTTAACAAACTATGCTTCATTTGAATTGCATTGAATTGTAATGCTGGGGTACATTTTCCTAAAACCGAAGATATTGCGAGTAGACTGCATTCTTAAGCGCTCACCATATGTGCTAATATCCCCAAACATTACACTGCCTAAACACACTTAGGCCTAACACGATGAGCTGCATAAACAGATAAAACAAATGTCTCCTCTTTCACAACAAAAAAAGTGATTCTGCCACAAGCATTAGATTGTTTAAGAAAAGTGGGCTGGTGCATCTCTGCTTTGGTCAAGCAGGAAATATTCATGAGACTTGATCTGCTCGGCCTCCATGCCATTACCACAACAAAGTAAGCTGGATAGCTAATGATAGGATGCAACCATACACACAACAGTCTCTTCAGATTTATCCCTTCATTAGAGCAATCAAAAACCAGCCTATTCATTTTATAATTCATATACGTAGATGAGCAGTGCATAGAACAATTCACAAAAGTTATAAAACAGAAGTAAAAAGTGAGACAGACAAAACAGAATTAAAACTTACAGAAAAATCTGAAAAAGTATTTCTCCTGCTTCTGGGGTTGGATAGAAAATGTGAACTATACACCCCCCCCCCCTCCCCCTTCCCCCACATATATGTGACCACAGTTTGATTGCAGATCTCCATTTTTTTCCCTTGAAAACCACAAGTAGAGTAAAAACCCAAATGGAAGGGGCTGGCACAGCTGCCTATTACCTCATTTTCACAGGTAGGATCTTGATCATTACAATCGCAAAAATGCATAACTGTGTCCAGTTATAATTTATTGATCTCAAATATTTTACCATAAAGCTGGCCTTTTTGGAGTCTAACAGCTCATCTCTGCACAACCAGGCACTGTGAAGTTGTATAGCTGTGCACTGTATGGTATGGGAGTTATGGGTTATGACACTTTTCAGAATTTCTAAGATTGGAATACACAAATGTATCTTAATAGCTAGGTGAGAACATTAATGGCCCATTTACACCATAGCATTTAGTTAATCACACAATACCATGCAATTAACGCACACAATCACACAACGCACCTAGTCATTGGTTCTACTCACGTGTCAGTAAAAAAGCGCTCTGCCTGGGTCCTTTTCAGCAGCTGATCTCTAAGCAAAGGAGGATTTCGAATTATCCTGTATTTCACAGGTCTGCATGCTGAGCAAATAAAATTAAGAGGTACAGAGACCAGAAGAACTGCATCTATCTCCATTCTTGCATCAAATGTGTAAATACGGACTGTGGACACGTTCTGGTCTGTGGTCAGCCTAATCGTCAGAGGAGTATCACAGTAGGCCTGCATACTTCCTAGGTGCAATGATTCATTATGTTCCGTCACTAACTCAATATCAGACAATGTGGTGGGCACATCAGAGGATAGGTAAGTTATCCAGATGGTAAGGGTCCGGGGTTGGACAGCTTTTAGGAAATTGAGCTCCAGAATACACCCCAGTGGCTGAGTACAAGGGACGGACATATTAGTATTAAAGATGTGAAGCTCAGGACTCCATGCATGTAAGCTTGGCTGGCAAGGCTGGTCTACATCTGGAGGACCTAGGCCAGAAAGGATAACATGTTAAGTACTTTCCACTTATATTACCAAATACTTTACATTACTTATAGTAGAGACACAATACTTAAAGGCATTTACCATGGTATTTGTAACTAGACATTTTACATTAGTTTAATTTACTACTAGCAGCAAATGAAACTTGAGCACACAACTGAACTAAAAATATCAACTAAGAATAATTATTTAGCACAATCATTTTAAGTAGCACAATAATTTTAAAATCCACAGATTAAAGTATATATATGTAAAGTCAAAACTTTTTTTTTCATTTTGGATTCATACTGGCGAATTATTTTAGGACAGTGGTGGAGCACTAGGGCCTGGTCGCAGCTGCAACCCTAGTAGTTATGCCACTGATTCTAAGCTGTAGAGGAACTGCAAATCTCAGAAATGCATTATACAGCAATGCAGAATACCACCAGTTATAATGGACTACAAGTGACATTAGAGAAAAGCTCTTTATCAAATAGTTGGTCCACAGTCAATATTCCAGCTATATTTTTATTGCTCTACCCACATCACCTGTGGATAATTTGCATATGGTCAGTATTGCAAAATTCATACCAACAGCCTCTTCTGGGGTCCAATAACCAGAGTTGTCACACACTCGAGGCGAGGAAGCTTGGTGAGCATATTGTTGTAAAGACCCATCAGCAGCACACAAATCACACATGGTTCCTAACTCTCTGTGGAAAAAAAGGAAAATTCTTTTAATTCTTTGAAAAACAGATGCAATTAATGTTTTTCGAAAAATTGTTGCAATTAACAGGAAATTATAACCAATAATACATTTACAGAGACATCATAAAATAATTTTGCTAGTTTATATTTCACCAATAATATCTGTAATGTTTTACTGATCCATGCTGCATTTACATTTTTTCAGTTTTAAAATCTGTATCATTGTCACCGGCAATTGAGCAGTTCAGGATATTTATCAAATAGGTCGGCATGTTTGTTGTACATATTTGAGTACATGTGGCCTAGTAGCAGCCTGGGCATCTTATCTTAAAGCTCAACTCCAGGAAGATAAAAAAAATATACAGATTATTGCAGCTTTGTATTTTTTTATGTAGTTTATTGTTTCACTACAACCAGTGTAAGTACTATTTGACTTGATATCAGCATCTTGCAAACACGGTACATCAGCACTCAGACTGGGAGAGGGAGAAGCAGCACACATTGCTAATCAGATGTGCTACAGTGCTCATATAATAACAAGAAACATGCTGATGGGAGGAGAGAGCAGAGTGGCAGAGAGATGAGTTCATCAGCCTGCTGCTTCTCCTTTCACTCTCTAGTCACTGGCTGGGTAATGGACAAGATCTCTACATGTTACTTAACTGCAGAAAAAATAGGTCTCCTGCCAGGGCCATCCCTGTATTGAGGCAGCATGAGGGTGTTGCCTCAGGCAGCATCTCTAAGGGTCATGTGGGGGTGAGCCCCGGCCCCCTTTACAGCCAGAGCGTTCCAGGTCGCTAAGAGTCCATACACATACACATGTGGCCATACACATCTCCCCACCCAGCTCTTAGCAACATTGGACACTCTGGCTGGCGTCCTGCTCAGTTCCTGGCAACCAGTGACGTCAACATAAGATGCTCTAGCCGGAGCCTGCCTGGAAGACACCCCCAAAAATAGTTTTTTTTAGTTTTGAATAGAGTTTGGTTGTTAACATCAGGCTTTAATTTATGTCACCACTGGGGATATTTTCCCTCACTTCCTGTCCATGTGATGTTCGTACAAGTAGTAGGGATGCAGGAATCATTGGGACAGGAGGGCTCAAATGGCAAGAAAACACTTTCACAAGTGAGGGGAAATCTTCCCACCATGGGCATAGTTGGCAATAAAATCCTGATAGAGATTCTAACCCTTCAACACACTATTTTTATTAAAACATAAAGTTCTGGTTGGAGCTGGGCTTTAAAAAAACCCCTACAATGCCAAACCGATACAAAAGTCACAATGTGGCAAACACTGTTTTAATGCCAGAAATATTGTGTATCTAATAGGTTCAGTTATGGATAAAAGCAAATAATTTCTAAGTATTAAAACCAAAAAGTTTGTAACTTATATCTCAAACTGACACTGTTATTTTTTAGTGACATGTAATTGTTCTATTTAAACAACGTCTGCATCTGCTACCTTTCATAGAGTTCTCCACTGATAGGCAGCAGCCAGTGGATAGTGAGAGAATCCATGCTCTGTTTAACAACTATTGGTGCCAAAGGAACAGGTGAAGGTTTGTGAATCCGGCTCCATCCTTGATATTTGAGATCGAGGTAACAATGCATGCGGGCAACTTGGTTTGGGGTGAAGCTGTTGGCACAGTCATCATCTGACATACAAAAAATGGAAAAAAAATTGAGGAGAAAGTGAGAATTACAAATCTTGGCTCTGTAGTATATTCAGTCTTATATAAGATAAATAAGAGGTGTAACATGCCATGGTAATACTGTCATAATGTTGTACATTGAGCTTCTAACAATGAAAGAGTAATGTCAAACTGCCTGTTCTAATTGTCTATGAGCAATATAATACTGCCATTGTTTATTAGATTATCTTTACTAGCCCTTTGTTTCTAAGCAAATAATTAAAGTCCATCTCCAAACTTTTTTAGTTTTTAAATAGAGAAGAGTTAGACCTTCTGTTGGGTTTTTTATTGTTGTGTTTGTCCCTACTGGAGAAATAACCCTTCGCTTTCTGCCTCGGTGACCACACAGAATGTGAGCTGCAATTTACCAACAGGTGGTATTAAAAATCTAAAAGAGATTCTAACCCACCCTCATTCTATAGCAAACTATAAAAAAAAAAGAAACATGAAGTTTTATATTAATCAATGTCCTGCATTTCCGTAAGACTGGAGCTCCAGTGATAGTCACCGCAGCAATGTCAACAAATAATAATAATAATAGTAAAATTACATTTTATAATCACATTTGACAGTGGGAATATAAAATGAACTCACAATATGTGAATATGGAAACAACAAAAAAACAGTAAAAACAACTGATTAAAAAAAATCACTTAATATTTATAAAACACAGCATGGAAAATTAAAATAGCTCTGTGAGGGAATGTAAATGATTATTGCTTTTGTGTATCTATAAAGTGAATCTGTAATGAAAATATTTTTATCGTCCAATGTCTCTTTAGATCTATGGCAGTGCCACATAGGTCAATTTTACTCTTTTATAATTGTTTTGAAAACATTAAGTATGAATAAAACATACAGCTTTTTAATATGTTCTTTTGAGGCTATTGGGCTATTTTCATAATAGCAGATTACTAAAACGTATTAAAGTTCCATTCCAGGCAAAATATGAACCCTATCCCAGGCCCCTCCCCACGTAACCCACCGAAACCCATCCTACAAGGGTTTTTTTTCTTATATGGTGAAGCAACATAAACTTATTAAGTCCCCCAATCAGGTCCCTTGTCAGAGACTGCCGATCCCCTACAATCCCCTCATGCAAATGTTACTCCTTTTCTGGATGCTGAGAGGAACCTGTTGCTGGACAGCCAATATGAAATATTCACATTACGTAGGCAGCTGAAGAAGGACCGAATCAGAAATAAACAAATGAAAAGAGAAGGCTCAGGACCTGAGCATCATGTAGATAAACTTTAAGGGTTTAGGAAAAATAATAATGTTAAATACCCCCTTATTAGGTTACTGGTTGTATTAATGTTAGGGCCAGGAGCTCCAGAGACAATTTAATAATTGTAAGGCTTAGTTCACACTGTTGTGCTGCATTAACAATGGGTGCACTGCTGTGCCATTCATTCTTAATGGCACCACAATGCACTTTGCCAACAGACATGAGCTTCAGAGCACCACAACGCACAGTCATATTCTACCGTATATTGTGGTGAGCTGCATTACAAAAAATACTACAAATATATTTTTTTTGGGTGCAATTTTTAATGAACTGCTACTTTAATGCAACCAACATTAACATGTAGACTGTAGTGATAATGCAGAGCAACAGCGTGAACCTAGCCTAAGGCTTTGCATGCTTTCTAAAGCACTTTATGAATTTTATTGACAATACCCAAAGCAGCACCCAACATCCCAGATGAACGGGTGAAAATCAGAGTAGGAGGAAGAAAATTAGAGTGGTAGGAAAAGTTGTTTCGGAGACTCTAAATAAACAAAATATCAGCAACTAAAATTGATAAAGTTTTAACTGAAAATCTTTGCTGGCAATGTTTACTTTAGGTTGTTTGTGTATTAAAACAGTTTGTAATTGTTTGCTGACATCTGTTTCTAATAGGAATTTAAAAAAAATAAATGCCCTTGTTTAATAGTGATATATAATTTTAATATTTATATATAAATAAATGAATACCAAGAGCTTTATTCACTAAAGCTTGATAAATGAAGCAGTTCCATATAGAAAAATGTTTACAGGGGAGTGTTCCTTATTGATAACATAATCAATCATTCTCGTGCAGTATTTTACTATGCAAATGTAATTAAAAATAAGTCATGCTACATTTTAAGGGAATGACATGTACACTGAATGGCAAGAAGCAATATGTTCAAAACTGTCAAAAATGCTGATGGCAGTGGAAAGGTTAGTTTAAAACATTGTTTCTGTTTTTCCTATTTTCCTTTGGTCCTTTAAAACATGGAGGCTAGGGAGTAAAGTAGGAAAAGTCTGGGACACCTGCTTTAACACATTAGGTTTTTGGGAACCTCCCTCACCCAATGCCAGGGAACTTTTTTTAATGAAAACAGTAACTTAAAATAAGTTGTGGGCTATCCAGCCTCTATGCTTCCCTACTGGCCCTTAAAGTGACACTAAACTCAGGGGTTAATTCTTAAAAATGCATTCAAATACCCCAACTATTACCAAAAACATATCTTATGTGTGTCTCATTCAGCTATAGATCCTCAAATCATCTCTGAATTAATGCTGACACTGTCCTTCCTTCTGGAGGGTGGCTGCTTTTGTTCCCCACAGTCTCTGTGTGTGCTGTAACGAAGCAACCATATACTATAATATCAATACAAATTAATAAACTAAACGTGAGGTTGTAGTCCATCATTGGAGCAAGTTTGGAGTGGTGGCTACTTTACAAAATACACAGGGACCAAAAGGGGAACAAACGTAGCCACCCTCCAAAAGGAAGGACAGTGTCCCCATGAAATCAGAGATGATTTGAGGATCTACAGCAGAGTGATACACAAATAAGATACATTTTTGTTAATAGTTAAGGTACTTGAATGCATTTTTAAGATTTAACTCCTGAGTTTATTGTCACTTTAAAGCAACCGACTCAGCCCATTTAGGGCAGAGGGGCAGTGCATTCTGAAAGCTCACTCCCCCAACAAGGTATACTCCCCATCCACACTTCCTCACTTTCTCCTGCTCCAAATATCTAACCTGAGCAAGGTAAGTAACCTGGTGTTGGAGCTTACATGTGGATGACATCACTGTTCACCCAATACACATGGCAGCATTCTGGCCTGGTGATTGGCCACTTAGACCAGAGCTCTGCCCCATGGGAAAGATCCCAATTCTCCCCCATACAAAAAAAACAGAATGGGGGCTCTGAGGGAGTAAGGAGGCAGCAAATATATCTTGCTGGAGGGGACTATCAGGAGGCACTGTCACCTAAATAGGAAAAGTGACAGTGTTTCTTTAAAAACGACAGGTAGGCTCAGTAACGCTTAGCAAAACACTGGGTTTCAAAACAGTTAGGTTAATGTAGATTGAATGACCTTTCTGAGTGTTTAGTGATAATAGTGGTTTGCTACCTGACCTTGATGTGTAGATTGGAGTTGCTCTTCAAAGCAGAACTCCACTACAACAGTAAGTTCTGTCAAATAAATGCTTTTCCAATGCAGAGAGTTGCTACATAAGGAGAACCAGAAAAAAAGCGTAGCACACAAATATATAGAAAAATAAACTGAATAACAACGATATTAGTAAGAGGTTCATTTTGTGTGGTGAAGAACAACATTAAGAGTACTCTCACTGTTAATGAAAACATCTCAATGCATACAAATACCTACCACCCACGCCTGGTAGGGACAACCACATTACGAGCTGATTCTCTATTTAATGCAGAACTCCAGGAAAGCAACTAAATACACAGTTTAACTATATAAATGTGAATTGTTTTTGTTTTCCTGCAGAAGGATTTGCAGTCTTGTGAGTCACACATCAGCTTTACAGTTTCCAGCGCCACCTGCTTGCTTATTGGACAGAGATGATGTGCATTCCTTATCCAGTGAGCCATTTGGAGGCGATACATTGAGGCTACAAGGCTAACCCATGAAAAAGAATTGCCCCTTGCCTAGTTATACAGTGTGGCAGATGTGTGTAAATTATGAGACTGAATTAACAAACTTATAAATTATTTGGCATGTACATATATTTCTGCTTGCATCATAGCAATCAATGATGCTGTGAAGGCTGTATAGTTTTATTTGTTTTTATGGTGCAGGCCAACAGCGCTGTCCTAGCAACCAATTATCCTTGCTGGCTTGTTTGAAATTGTAAATAAGCCTGTGGACATCCCGGTTGATGTCACTGACCATATATGGTCATGGCCATATATGGTAAATGACTTCAGCCAGTGAGCAATGGGAGCATCATTGTTATTACATAACAGTCTTTTTCAAACATGTAGCGTGTTTATTTACTTTAAAAATGTTATCAGTTAATTAGTAACCAGAGGCACTATGTACCCCTTACTTATTCTTGTAAAAGCTGGGCCAGATATCTGGGGTCCCCTTATCTTAAAGGGAGCTTCCAGATTCTGTCACATCCCCCCAGATGCACCAGGCTAGGACTGTGGAGTAGCAACCAACAACAGATGTTGCCTCTGAGCGTTAAATTGTCATTTAGTGGCCAACAGGCTAAATCTAGCAGTTCAGTTAACTGCTAGAGTTCGGGTCAAACTCATGGCCAAGCCAAACCTCATTCCTTATACCTGGGCAAACTGAGACCAGAGCCAGTTAAAGGAGAATTATGGGGTGAGTTACATACACTCTTCCCCATAATTCAAGGTGACCTGTGAAACTGAAGTTGTCACTAGGGATGTCCAGATACAGATTCTAGCATCGGTATCGGGCCCGATATAGGGCATTTTGACAAGTACTTGTACTTGTCAAAATGCCCCGATACATAGCGCCGAAGCTTGCGCTATGATTTTTTTTTTAACTTACTTGGAGAGCAACGGCGAGTCGGCACTGGTCCGGTGGGAGGAGCTCCAGGTGGGGTCCTGTTCTGTCGACGCTGAGAACTCATCGACCGCGCGCACCTCTGACGTCGCATCTGGGTACTGCCAGTCTGTCAGCTTCACTTAAAGACCTTCCGGGCATGCGTTGCCACTCAGCAATCATTACATTCCCACACTGCGCCTGCGTCCCTTTCTCACGGCCGTTAACTTCTCCAACTACACACAGCTCCTGTCCAGTTCAACTACCATGCACTGCGCTTGCGTGCCCTTCTCGTCGAGTTTGTGAACTATACACTGTCAATCCTAGAGGCACATGCATGATCGGATTTGTAGTTTCACGACAGCTGTGTGAAAGCAAATGCAAATGTTTTATTGTTCTAAAACAGTCTTAAATTAAAGTTCTTTATAATCATAAAGAAATTGGCCTAAAATCATTAGTCTGCATTGGTTTTTTTTTTAAATTTACCTGTCCCTTTAAGGAAAAGTATCGGTAATTGGTATCGGCAAGTACACGAGGGGAGGTACTTGTACTTGGTCTTGAAAAAGTGGTATCGGGACATGCCTAGTTGTCACAGGTCGGCTCTATTGATCAGGAACTCAGCGAGGGCGTGTTGAGTTCCCAATCCTCTCCCCGCAGGAATTCCGCCCTCTCTGTTTCTCCAGCGCTGACTGGAGGAATGGACGGGGGAAGGGGAGGGCCCAGCTGGCTTTGCCCCAGAGGACATTAGTATATGTGTCTGTGGCAAAACAAGGTTAGGCCATTTTAACACCATGTAGCTAGTGTCCTGGCCAGGATTCAAACAGTGTTGCAAGGCAGAATTGCTGACCACTAACCCACTATGCTGCTCTTCCTTTTAGGGTGATGTTTATGTAAACAATTACCTGCAACAGATTTGGGAGCTAAGGTAACATTTTAGAAACTATTTAGATTTTTCGGTATAAAATAAACAAAATTTGACAAAGGTTTTAATCCTTCCTCTTATCCACAACTAAAAAGAAAAGTTTTAGCTATAACATAACATTTAAATTCTCACCTGAGTAGCTCATGTAGTTGTCATATGGAGTTCCAGTGTAAAACTTTGGACCACAGGTGTCATTTGTTGGATCTGGATCTCGACAAAGCTTATTTTTTGGGGTGGGCGCGGTGTCAGCACATAGATCCCCCGTCTCCATGGAAGGTTCAGTCTCACTGCATGGGTCATCACAAGACTCTCGCTCACTCACACCTTTGAAAACATGGTACAGTCCTAGGGCATGGCCCACTTCATGAATCATTGTATTAGTATGGCCTGGAATTCCATAATAAGATGGATTCACAATTAATCCCCCTGCAGAGAACAAAAATATGCTGTTTGACAGGTAACCCTCGCATATGCAGCATTTTTCCAGAAACGGACAACGTTTCAGACATTTTGGTTTTTCTTACAGTGATTGCAAAGAAACATGCTGAGAGATTCAAAAATATTTCACAGTTGTTGAGGTTGCCATAGACCTGAATGATCATTCATTCACAAAACATGCAAAAACTTTCTGACAGGAAAACAGATAAAATCAGCTGATGACGGCCGTCCACACTGACATAAGAACTAAACCAAAGACAAATGTTTGAGAGATGGAAAAGGAAAATAAAAGTGAAGAATAGGAAATTGCATGACAAATCATACTTCTTGGTGAGTGAAATATACAAACAGATTTAACTCAAAGTGGGATAAAAAAAACATACACACAATTTAATTTAAAGTAGTATTAAACTCTTAAACTTTTTTTTCAATCATTAATCCAGATCAGACAAATACCCATTGCCCAGCAAAGTATTTCTTTACATTTTTGCCCAAGAACTTACAGTTAACATATTTCCAAGCAATTTGCTCCATCTCAGTCAGCTCGGCTTCCCTGAACTTCCTGTCTAGTACAATATCACAAGGGACAGAGCAGTCTCCAGCAGTTGTACATCTACTAGCATGGAGAAGGGAGAAGGAAGGAGAGGGAATACAAGAAGCTGGAGAGTGGTTTGTCTTGCTGTGCCTGTGCATTTGTGGATACACAAAGCTAACAAGCACACAAGGTTGGCTCCATAGTACCCTACAATGGAAAGGAGCCAACCTAAAACAGGATATCAAGAGCAGTGCTCATCAAGGGGCAGCATCCATTGTAAGTGATTTTATCTGCATTTGAAAACACTTAGGGGTCTATTCACTAAGCTGCCGAAGGATCTAGCCTTAGCTTCGTCTGATCCTTCGGCTAGCTTTGGCCCCAGGACCCCTTCGGTTCAGTAGAACCAAAGGGCTGCTGTACGGGCTACTCACTATAGTCCGTACAGCTCCCAAAGTTGGCCGCAGTGAAAGCCGAAGCTGGCCGAATGGCTAAAAACATTCTGCAAAGTCATTCGTGAATCACAAATACAGACACTTGAACAATCATGTATAAACACCTTATATCTTAACAGGGATGTCTCCCGTCTATGACTACCTCTACTGGGCAATACCCAAATAGGTTATGTAGAAAACTAAGTAAAGTCGAATTAAAAACAAATCATTTAAGCCCCTGACAGTACATTCATATTATGCTCCAGAACGGACCAGTGAGCTAATAAAAACAGATAGGGACCATACATATGACATTGAAGTTTCATTTACTTCAAAGTGAAGCATCCTGATGGTCATTTAGTGCAATACAAAACGACTTTTAACCACAATGAAATGCTTAATGTCTCGAGCATCCATCCCTCTTGATGTAATTAAATTGGCTCTATATTGTCCACTGATCTGGTCATATTCCAGTTACTTCCCTTCCAGCTGTAATTACAGAAGAGTCAGTGTTTTTTTAGAAGTGTGAAATTAAATAGCGTGTCTATAATTTAAATAGGGACATTTCCAAAAGAAGACTGAATAATACAGCCAAATAAATCACTAAGCACTTAGATAACCATTACTTATTACAGGAAGAAATTTACCCGATGTTTAAAGAAACAGACTTTTGTTTTGGCTTTTATTTTGCCTGGTAAGATATTTTTTGCTATATTCCATTTTGATACTTAAATGAAAGGGCACAGGCAGGCATAAAACAACTGCTGTGTAATTAATATGTCTGGCATTTAGAGTAAGTAGCCAGGCTTAAATTAACGTTTGACAAAGAGATTAAAAAAAACTAAAACAAACTGACAAATTAACACATGGTATTGGAATTAGTAGGAAAAGATGTGTTTTGTCAGCTGGGGTTTGGGTATAGGAAATGTTTTTAAGGGCTGAGCTCCTCAGTTTGGGCAGTCTACCTGTCATATTAGTTATTTATTGTAAATCAAGAGGCATATGGCCAGCTAACATTTATTAAACAGTACAACAAACCATTGAACCTACAATAATTTATATAAGTAATATTTGCACCACTGGGTTCATGTGAATTTTTGCTATTCTTTGTGTAACTAACATACAATTGCTTTATATGGGAGTAATACAAAAAGCTGCAAATACTCTTTCTTCAATCAAATTTACTGAGTTGAGTCATGCATCGAGAAGAGAAAAACACCTCACCACCAGACCCTGCTACTCTTCCACTAGCCCATTAGGAGGAGCAGGACTGTCAGTGAGGCAGTAAGTTCAATGTAGACACAGTTAATTTAGGAAAAAGAAGATTCATCTCATGTGCAGCTTTATGTATTTCTTGCTTTTATTCTGGGGAGTGGATGGATCATGCTGGGCTACTGCACTCGCTGTTGTCAGAGGAAAGCCAAAAGTCTACCTGGAGCTGTATCAGTTTGCAAGACCGGGGTATTTTGTCTATTTATAATATTCATAACTTTAAAGTTAAAAGAGAATGTTCATCCATGGATTTATCTAATTGTCATTTAGATACCAAGAAAACATGTTTGCCTTATTTGAGCATAATATAATAGTACACTATATATACTATGACTGATATACAACTATTTCACTATGTGTACAATCTTAGTATTTTGGAGAAATTGGTAAGAAAATTGCAAAAAACCTTCATCCAGATCTGGAGAAACAAAACTCTAAAGCCCACAGTGACCAATCATTGTCTGCTTGCCATTTTTAAGGCATGTTACAGAATAAAAGGAATTACTTCTACCTTTCTAAGAGCAATAGAGAAACTATTATTTTATTACCATATAATGCAAGGCATAATGTTCAGGTAGATGTTAAAGAATACATAATTATTTAATTACACCCATTGTTTTTTTTAAACTGCTTCACTTCTACTATAAAAAAGTTTCTAAAATGATGTGTATATATGATTGTAAGCGCTACTCAATACTGATATTTCCATTATAGGTGCCAGCTTATTATTGGCTTCTTACATCTCTCTAGAGCTGCCAAAAGCAAGCAAATCTCCCAATGAACAATAATCAATGAAAGATCTGGCCATCCATTAGAGTTTGACAATGCAGGGACTCAATGCAATGACACTTCCGTGGTCCGTTGTGCTAGAGCATCCATTGTGCTAACAGCAAAGTTGGCGATTATTGAAGTGCTATCGTAGTGCTATTATTGAAATGCATTTTCAACGCTGTATTAATCCCGCTGTAGTGTTGATTAGCCAGCTCATTAGAATAATGGGGGCGTTGTTTCTGATTTCTCTTTTGACTAAGAAAACGCCTCCTAGTTGTGATTTGCCAGGTAGGTGTTCCCATAGTAACTTAATGGCATTCAGTGATTGGCTATATTTCGATTCCACACAGGTTTATGATTGACCATAGAGAGTATTAATAGCACAGGGATAGTTAAACTACCCAGCTCTGAGGAAGGGAGCGTGTCCCCGAAAATGCGTTCAGCAGTGGTAGCGGCACTCTGTGAGGAAAGCAGAGCTCCTTGATTGTCCTTCAATCGCTCCAGTGTACATCCACATTAGAAAGTGTCATCAAAGATCATGAGTCCATTTGACGCTTTTAACCTTGGCTTCCTTTGTTAGTATATTTTTGTATACTTATTTTTATCAATAAAAGGTTTATTTGCACCAGGAAAGGCGCCCGGTGTTGTTTTGTGTTTTATGCAATGCAGGGACCTACCTGATGCCTGTCCATGATCTGTGCTATCTCTGGATGTAACATATGTGATGTAGCAAGCATTCATTCCCTTTTCTGTGAAGAAAAGACAGAACGATACCTCTGTGCATTCAAAACCTGGAAGCGTCCATTAGCAAACATCTACATCTACCACCTGACTACCACAAGAAGGATTATTAATTGGTGGAGGATTCAACCCACTGTCATTTTCCAAAGCTTTGATGGACGGAATCTTTAAAGGGTATCTCTAGGCAAAACATTTTGGATAGAGTGTGGAAAATGAGATGTTCTGATGAGTTTTTTGTTGTCTGTGTCCCTGTCCTTCTCTTTGTCCTGCTGACTATTGTCACTGAGAAGGAAAGTGGGGGTAATTCAATTTTTTGGAGTTCCAAGAACAAAAGGTAAGGAAAAATCTTCCAATGGGGACACCTGTTTTGAGGACAGTTTTCTAATAAGGTAATAGACCTCACTTTGGGAGATTTCCTCTAAATTTCTGTTGCATCTCTGGGACAGGAAGTAAAGAGAAATTTTGCCAATGGTACAGATAAAAAACAATTAACTAGCAGGGTTTTTTAAACTGCAAAAAATTTTTGGCTACCCATACCTTTTAAAAAACTAAAATGCTTGAACAGCAAAGAAATAATTGCCTGTTCATGTGATGTCTCTCTAATGAAACATATTGTATGTTTAGGCAATCATTACCTCAACATGCTTGTTTGTTGTTTTGCTGCTGTTTAGTATTAAACAGTGGCGGAACTACCGCCATAGCAACCCATGCGGGTGCTATGGGGCCCGCAACCGAGGGGGCCCGGTCAGGAGCAATTATAGTGTGCGATATAGTGCGTTCCAGCACCTACCGCTCTGGAACGCACTGTAATTTGTGTGAATAAGCCCTAAAACACTTTTAAACCTGCACATACATTGCTGTAATTGTCTTGTATATAGATTGTGGCTCCTCTGACAGCTGTAATCCTAAAGGCTCGTTCACCCTTGCCCAGAATGCAAGGAATCGCATACACAAAGTCTCCTTGCGTTCTGGGGTGGGAGGGGGCGTGGCAGTGCCATTCATGTCATTTGAATTTCAGACACACACCCTGCCCGCAAAAAATAGTACATGCACAATTCATGTCATCAGCTTTGCACCAGAACGCATGGTAACACAATGGCCTGCGTTCAAGTGTGGTGCAATCACAAAAAATTGTGCATGCATTATCGTTTGTGGGCAGGGAGTGCATCTGGAACTCAACTGACATGAATGGCACTGCCACGCCCCCTCCCACCCCAGAATGCAAGGATAATTTGTGTATGTAATTTCTAGCATTTTTGGGGGGTTGGGGCTTAGGTTGCAGGATGGGGGGATGAAATGTGGTGTCAGGCTGCGGGGGGGAGGGGGTT